TATATATATATATATATATATATACTCACACACACACACACATACACACACATATATATATATTCACTTCAAAATATATAAACTAACATGCCCTTTGCATAGTGATATGACAACAGTACATCCTCTGCAAGTAGAATGATTTACCTTACCCACTGTGAGTGGGACATGTCCTTGAATTACATTTCCAGAAATGATAGTGAGTCTGCAATTGATTTATTTACAAGCTTTACCTAGGCAGCCATATTAAGTAAAATGAATAACTAGAATAGGAAGTTATTACCGAAGTCACAGTATGTTGTCCTGGAATACAGAGGCCAACTGGTTCACATACGGATCAAAAGAGGGTTAGTCAGAGATTTAATAGTTGCTCACCCACATGAACCAGAATCATCTGGAGAGCTTTGAAAATATACAGAGTCCTAGACCTCATCAAACTTACTGAATCAGAATGTCTAAAAAGGAGGAGAGTCTAGAATCTATATTGGTAAAAACACTTCCAGCTGATTCTTCATGTGACCAACTCAATACAGATTTGTGAATTGCTTGCCAACTATCCTAAGGATATTTTTTTATTTACATTTTTAATACATTCAGTTACATTATTTAGCTTACAAGGTGATCATTTCAGTATATGAACCTCTCTCTCCGATCGAGTTGATCAAAATATAAGGATATTTTGTCCATTGAAACCATAAGATCTATTCCACCAAGGGTGGCTGCCATATATGCTCATTGTGGTCAAGACTACTGTTGCCTCCTAACATTCTTCCTTCACAGCAGAACTGCTATTTGGTAAGAGAATACATTGACACAATCACCCAGCTAAAAGGCTACATTTCCTAGCCACTCTTGCAGTTTTGTGTGACCATATGACTAACTTCTGGGCAAATACAAGTAAATTTAAATGTTATGAAGACTTAAAATTCTCCATTAAAGGTGGTGATGGTCAGGGGGTATTCCCCTACAGCCTTTATTTCTCATTCTATATTCAGATACCGGGGAAGTACATGTAATAGCTGGAGACCCAGCAGCTTTATAGGACTACAAAGTCAAGAAGCAAACCCTAGAAATGTGAGAGTAGAGAGTTCAAAGAGTCTGAGTTTTTGTTGATGACTTTGTGGAACCAATATACTAGCCTTCTACTGCCTATGTAAAAGCTTCTTTTACATAAAAAATACATAATTTTTAGCTGCATTCTGCTACCTTCAGTTGAACCTAAAGTAAAACACCCACTGTAAAAGAAAAGTCCACATGTCCTACCTGACCCAAAGTATCTAATATTTAATTACCCATGAGTTTCAAACAATTTATGAGTTGAGCCAGACAGTAGCATGGTGACTAAGAGAACTAGATCCCACAAGGCAGATGGCTCAGCCTCAGACCCAAACCCAGGGATTTGAAAAACATGCTGAGCGCCAGTGCACACATGCCCAAGATTCTAGTAGGAAGGAGAAATGGAGAAGAGATTGTAAATGATATTTCCCTATGAGAGGTACTTTCTCACTTTCTCTCTCTCTCTCCCTCTCCCCCTGTCTGTCTCTCTCCAGTGAATGTCCATGCCCTCTAGTAACACACACACACACACACACACACACATACACACACTCACAAATTTATGAGTGAACAAATGTCTTAAAGTATGTATTCATATTATATTCTTCCTTTAAAATGATATCACCCCTGCATTGCTGACCATCAAGCATTTGCTTCTTCATATTCGTATTTTAACAATGAGATAATGGCAGATACCAAATAATAAAAATGTAAGGGACCATAATATAGAAAGGAGTGTAAGCCCCTCAACTCCCCAAATCGGAAGTTGGCGTGGGTCCAGTATATCAGCGTAGGATTGCAATACCATTTCAAATCTATGGTCCATGAGACAAATTTGGCATATATATAGGCTTATGTAATACTTCCTGAAACGTTAGTTTTGAGTGTTTCAAAGCAGGCATGTATCTTCAGTTCTCAATAGGCCCCATCTTCCCCTGTTGAGGTACAAATACTCCCTTGCACTACATGTTTAGGTTACCTGCCTGGCCGCTGAAAGTGCTGAAGTTGACAGGACCTAGAAATAAGATGGTACATTTCTGCACCTTCCATTTTCTCCATCGCTCATCTGGTGTTGAATACATTGGTTCAGATCATTGTCTAAGATTAAGTATGCCTCTCTCTAATAATATGAATGTGTCTATGTCATTAGATGTATATTTAGAAATATAAAACTTACTGTACAAACAAATGTGAAAACTGTTAAAGCTCCCTTCCCCACATACCCACACATTCAAACTCTTAGAAGGCTGATTTCATCATCTTAACATCCTGATTTCTATTACTCAATAGTTTTAACTAAAGGTAGCTCAACTCCCCAACTATATCCATTCAGTTTTATTAATTTTAAAACTCAATCAGTTCTTAAAATTAAGTGAGAAGTAGTACTAATTTTAACCTAAAATGCTTAAAACTTGTTTACTTTTATCATTCATATGCATTTCTATCAGGCAGGTTCTGTGATTATATTTGATATTTCTGGTAAATTAATTTGAACAGAAGAAAATATACCTTAAAAGTCATAAAAGGAAAAAAAGAAAACCTTGTAAATATGCACTTACATGTTATAACAGGTCTCTACATTTCCAAGGGGACATATTTGTGCACAGAGCAAATACCACAGTATATGACTCAGTTCTAACTAAAATTTGAAAAATGTACTTGCTTTGCATGTGTGCCTTACATATTTCTTTAATTTAAACCATTTACTTAGGCTTACTCTCCACAAGCTCAAAACTCACATGAAGTTTCTAAATTCTGACACTTTTATTAAGCTTGTGACATGCCTGAACAGGGAAAATAAAGCATTGCCAAGTACCAAACACTATCAGTTTAGGCCAGAATATGGATGGCAAGTGAGTGCAATACAAGTTAAGTAGCTCTGAATATACTGGGTCCCAGAATTCTTTTCTGTATGAGCTTTAATTAGGGCCATAAGTACTCTCTTTTGCTATTGAATTTTTGTCACAAATATTCTCCTAGATTGAGAAATTTAAAAATGTACATTTTTTTTACAATACATATGTAAGCAATTATACTTTCTCTATAAAGTCTGATGTTTGAAATTCCAATTTCTATAGTAGTATACTAGAGAAGGTAGGGGTCAATTTGGAATGAAAACTTTTTTGCATGAAAATCTCACCAAATTAAATATATTTTTATATTTTATAAGTAGCAGCCATGCACTTTTGTTTAAACATGTAACCCAACCCATTACTTTTATGTATATTAATACTGGAAAAACTAAACTCAGTTCAATTTTTAAAAACATCTACAGAGTAATTACAACTAGTTGAGAAGATATTTTAACATATGGCTTATTTATAAAACATTCCTTTCATGTGTTAACATAATCATTCACATATTTATAAAAGTAAGTTATAGTTTTAATATAAACAATGAAGTTTCATTAAAAATTTTAAATTAAAGGTGGCTAATTCATTGAAGGAAGGGGGTAAATCATTCCTTCTACAATCAGTTTTCTATATCTGCTGTAATTTTTCTGTATTTTTTTCCTTCTAACTTCTACTTTCTGTTCAGCTATCTCCCCACCCTTCCAAACAACACATGCTTTACACGCCATTACAAAGCAGCTCAAGACTCTTTTTTTTAACCTTTTATGAATTCCCTCATTTTTTAACATAAAAAGTTCCCAGATTTTAGAAAGTGCCCCCTCTATAGGACTCTTGATAGATTGTTGAGTAGTCATCTTCACATTTTTATTTTCACTCTAAAAATTTAGAACTTGCAGTCTCTAGATTAATTTTATGAACATCTTTAGAGCAAAAATACATAAGTACATGGCTATGTATGTGTGTGCATGTATACATTATATGCAAACATTATCGTTCATATGTATATGTGAAATACAGTAACAGAAAAGATTAATGTGCCAAGTTTTAAAATCTTAAGCTTAATGTTAGTTAGGAAAACTATTGGCTTATGATGGTTTATTAAAAAGGAGTAGCTGTCTTTATTTGAAATTGCCACCCTCAAGGGTAAAGATTTGATCATAAATGGAACCCATTTAAATATGTTTTTATATTCTGTAGCAGCCATGCACTTTTGTTTAAACATGTAACCCAACTCAAACATATGCAAATTGCACAGAAAAAAAAATTAAAAAACTATAGCCAGGCAAGATTTGTCTTTAAAATCAAAACAAAAAATACGTAATGAAGTTTGCATCTAAAGGATAATGCCCATACAAACATTCCATGCCAAATTAGTTATATATAAGGCATGCTGATTTCCTGTCTTCCGCCTCCCACCAGGAACCACCACTGTCCTGATAATCAAGTCAGTAGGGTGGGAAAATACCACTGTTTAAGAAATCTGGCTTCTATCAACCTCTGTCATGGAGAAATAAACGAGATTCCCTCTCAGTAGCTGAAGTGATTTTAAGTTCACAAATGTAGATGATAAAGAAGTATAAATCTCTAAAAAAGAAAAGAACAAAGAGCCTAAGACAAAGAAAAATCAGCACAATCAGAGTCGCTGCAGAGGTTTTTCTAAACAAAGAATTTTATGAAGCATCTGAAGTTCAGTACAAAAAGACTCCACCCTACCCAGCTTCTGCAGCAACTTTTCCTTGCTCTGAAAACTCCAGCCCACAGAACAGAATTCCTCTAACGAAAAGTGCCTTTAGTGTTCCATTTTAAGCTCCTTCTTTTCTTACAAACTTTCCTCTCTCACACTCAGGCAAAAGGGCTTATCCTAGGTTTTTCCAGAAATATTTAGTAGTGTACTCTTTCCAAGGCAGATATAGAAGCTCCGGATTTACAAACATCCCGATTGTCTTCCGAGCCCTTTCCCAGGTGCAGATCTGTCAGCCCCCTTCTCAAACTTCAAACCAGAACCTCCTCTTCATGCTCTTCCTGAGGCTTAACATTCCACCTATTTCCCAAACCGTGCAATAAACACCACAGCAAAGCAAACGGCAAACTCACCATCCTCGCCTTCTTCCTGGGCTTTTATTGAGACAAATTGCCCTAATAAAACAGTAAGAATGAGAAGAGGTCTTGCTTCCACCCAGCTTGCCATCATGTCTAAATATTAGACATGTGGGTCCTCTTGGGAGTGAAAAGTAGATTCTAAGGTTATTGTAGCACCATGAAGTCAGCTGTGTGTTCTTCTCCTTTCAGCACCAGCCTCAGGGCAGCCTCTGCAAACCCCGATTTTCAGCACCAGCTCCAGCACAGTCTGCGAAAACTTTTTTCAAGCGATGCAGCTTTAAATAGGAAGAATGCTGCCTCCACTTCTTTTCCTGCCCCTTTTCGGCTTGTTCAGGCTCATAACCATCCAGTGTCTGCCAAGCAACGGTCTGATTGATGGTAAACAACCAAATCAGAACACGCGTCTCTGTGCCTTGAACTTTCCCTATTTCATTTACATTTTAGGCATAGAAGGGCCTTAATAACAGAAAACGAACGTCTATTTCTCTTTCCGTCTTTGTTTTTTTTAATAAAAGCCTGTTAGAAGAAACCAGTCCTGTTCTGCCCTCCCTAACCCTTCCCCCAGACACACAGCTCTTCACTTTTCCCCTATAAGCTGAAAAGACATTAGGGAGCAAATATAACCATTTAACCTAGTTTTTGGCATTTGAATAATTCGATTTTTTTTCCATCCTAAGCCTTTAGCAGCACACAGTTTAACCGTTTTTGTTTTTTTTTTTTTTTTTTTTTTTTTTTTTCATTAAAAAGGACGTATCCTTGTCCCCTTCTCATGTTCTGGATTTTGTTTGTTTTGTGTTTTTTTTTTTTTTTTCATATTCTGAAAAGGGACTATTAAAATGGTCCCAGGTAAAGTTCAGGCAAGAAAACTATTTCAGACAAATAAATCTGTGATACATGGGATACAAACTAAATTGGAAAGACAGGACTTCTAATCTTTCCATAACTCTTGTCAAAGGACTACATCTGCAGGTTCCTGTTGACCCAGAGTTCTGTTATATAGGAAAATAATGCACTAAACCAGTGTAGAGGAGTGAGAAGTACATCGCATTTGGATGCAAAAACTTCGGTTCAAACACCAGCTCTGCTGCTCACAGATTTTGTAAGCCTACAGATAGTCCTGTATCTCTGCACTCCAATCTTCTAATTTGAGAAAAGGGCCTTGCCTTGACCAGTACACGGGATTTAGTGACACTAAAATGAGTAATATACAATTAGCTAACTTCCAAATTGCAAAGAGTCACATGAAAGTAGATGGTGATGCCATTAACCCTAAACTGGCTTTTCAGATGTTAAGTCAGTCCCAGTCGCACATGCACTATCCATGAATTTTTGAGCCACACACATATTTGCCAAGATTTTAAGGACCTCAGAGCATTCCACATAATCTAACATATTAGCTACCTTGAGCCCTCCTAGAGTCAGCACTGGTGGTTCATACAACACAGGTGAGTCAATTGTTCACAATTACCCAGCAATGATAAGGTACCCTACACTATGGTAAGCACTGCATGGAGCAAAAGACATGAAAGAAATAAAAGGCCTGCCTAACACCTTCAAGGAACATATGTAGTTGCTGAGAAAATAAAGAAATATAAGCCAGAGCACATAAATACATAATGCATGCATTAAGTATAGTAGAAATTTAGAGAAAATAAGAATTGTAAAATGGGATTAGGCAAGTAAGGCATTATTATCACTTTTCTTAACAGAAAAAAAAAATCCAAGAAACTTTCCATTTTAGCTTTAGAGCTAGAAGCTTCCAGAGGAGGTTAACCTCCTCATCCTGTACTCTTTATTATGGCTTTTCATTTAAACATCTCTCATTTCAAGGATTTCTGTCATCACCACAAGGTTCCAGAGTTGCCCTGCTCCCATTTAATGAATGGGTTAAGTATGGACCTCAAATCACCCTTCTGATAATTCTTTCTATAAAATTGAAGAGAGGCTAGAATTAGAAAACTACCTTGTGAAATACTAAAAGAGAATAAGGAGACCAGCAGAGGGTGTGGTAGTTAAGATGCTAGATCCCACATGGCCAACTCTGTGGGTCAAGTCCTGGACCCAACGGCCTGAAAAACATGCTTAGTACATGTGCTTGTGTGCCCAAAATTCCAAGAGGAAAATGGAAGAGAAGGGACTGCAGCATGGCCTACCCCTCTGAGGAGGGTGTGTGTGTGTGTGTGTGTGTGATTTCTTTATTTTCCCTCTCTCTCCAATAAACACATATACCCTGTGGCAAAAGAGAGAGAGAGAGAATAACAGGAAAATAAGTCTAGGGAAAATAACTTAGCCATTCTCTGAGTATGCCAGTTCTCTTCTACTATGAGGCCATTTTAGACCTCAACACCACTCTGATACCAAAGGTTAGCATAACTGGCACAACTGTCAAAGATTTTGTGTAGAATATTTACTAAAGTCCAGAGACAACAGAAATTTATGAGATCTGCCACTCTCAGAAACTATTTGCCACGTTGTGAGATACAAAGATAGTAAGATCGCAGGACTTGTAGCAGACAGTGTGCATTAACAATCACTTCCTGCTTGGACCAGCATCTTAGTACCTGTAATTAAAACAGTTATAAGCAGCTTATTAATAGTTACTTAAAATATAAATGTAAATACAGCTATAGAAAAAGGATTAAAAACACCACGCAACTTCTCATAGTTCCCACCATTTTCAGCCTCCTCTTCAGCATAATACCAGAAGTTTATGGTACAATAGAAGCATAGCAAATATTTTCATGAGCCCTGAGCATTCTTATACCATCCTTGTGAGATTTTGATATCTTTTGCAGTCAAGTCATAAGTAGCAAAGTGTTTTGCAACTTGGTTTTTCTGCGGTGTGGCTTTAGGGTCCTAGATTATAGTTTGGAAAAAGCTAAAACATATGTAGGAGTCAGCCAGGTGTGTCTGTTAATAGATATGATTCAGGATAGAAGGTAGTAATCATTAAGAAATGATCCTAGAAGAACTGATTCTAGGTCTCAGTGCTGGAGTAGGGAGTTCAGAAATCTGTCCTAAATCCAACAAAGTTATCTCAACAATATACACATTTTAACCACTTCTCAGAGAGTCAGGGTTCTCTAGGGAGTTAGAACTGATAGGTTTGTATAGATATAAGTGTAAATTTATTGAGAGAATCAGCTCACGTGATCATGTCACACCCTGAGTAATGGTTCTTCTAGGTATTCCTCAGTCCGGTGAAGTTCACAGCAAAAATGGACACAAAGCAGTCCTGAATAATACTTTTTTTTTTTTCAAATAATACATTAGGAAGTATGGTTCAAGAAGTTTACATGCTGGCACCAGCAGTTGGTTTAATGGCTATGTCACTGGACTCCCATGTAGTCGACCACGGTTCAAGTCTCGGATCTGGTGGCTTAAACACACACCGCACGTGTGTGCGTGTTTTCCCTCTCTCTCCAATAAACACATATACCCTGTGGCAAAAGAGAGAGAGAGAGAATAACAGGAAAATAAGTCTAGGGAAAATAACTTAGCCATTCTCTGAGTATGCCAGTTCTCTTCTACTATGAGGCCATTTTAGACCTCAACACCACTCTGATACCAAAGGTTAGCATAACTGGCACAACTGTCAAAGATTTTGTGTAGAATATTTACTAAAGTCCAGAGACAACAGAAATTTATGAGATCTGCCACTCTCAGAAACTATTTGCCACGTTGTGAGATACAAAGATAGTAAGATCGCAGGACTTGTAGCAGACAGTGTGCATTAACAATCACTTCCTGCTTGGACCAGCATCTTAGTACCTGTAATTAAAACAGTTATAAGCAGCTTATTAATAGTTACTTAAAATATAAATGTAAATACAGCTATAGAAAAAGGATTAAAAACACCACGCAACTTCTCATAGTTCCCACCATTTTCAGCCTCCTCTTCAGCATAATACCAGAAGTTTATGGTACAATAGAAGCATAGCAAATATTTTCATGAGCCCTGAGCATTCTAATACCATCCTTGTGAGATTTTGATATCTTTTGCAGTCAAGTCATAAGTAGCAAAGTGTTTTGCAACTTGGTTTTTCTGCGGTGTGGCTTTAGGGTCCTAGATTATAGTTTGGAAAAAGCTAAAACATATGTAGGAGTCAGCCAGGTGTGTCTGTTAATAGATATGATTCAGGATAGAAGGTAGTAATCATTAAGAAATGATCCTAGAAGAACTGATTCTAGGTCTCAGTGCTGGAGTAGGGAGTTCAGAAATCTGTCCTAAATCCAACAAAGTTATCTCAACAATATACACATTTTAACCACTTCTCAGAGAGTCAGGGTTCTCTAGGGAGTTAGAACTGATAGGTTTGTATAGATATAAGTGTAAATTTATTGAGAGAATCAGCTCACGTGATCATGTCACACCCTGAGTAATGGTTCTTCTAGGTATTCCTCAGTCCGGTGAAGTTCACAGCAAAAATGGACACAAAGCAGTCCTGAATAATACTTTTTTTTTTTTCAAATAATACATTAGGAAGTATGGTTCAAGAAGTTTACATGCTGGCACCAGCAGTTGGTTTAATGGCTATGTCACTGGACTCCCATGTAGTCGACCACGGTTCAAGTCTCGGATCTGGTGGCTTAAACACACACCGCACGTGTGTGCGTGTATGCCCAAGATCTGGAGAGGAGAGTGGCAGAGAAAGGATTATGGTGTGGCCATCCCACCTGGGGGGTGATTTTTCACTTTCTGTCTCTCTGTGTCTCTCTGTCTTTCTGGCAAAAACATTTATAGCAAAATCTTCTTTAAAAAAAAATAAAAAGAAGTTTACATGCTCAAGTTTGCTCAGCTATTAAGTGGTAAATTTGAGATTCAATTTCAGGAATGTCTGACTCTCAAGTGAATGTTCTCACTCCTTCCTACTCTTCTTAGACCTCCCTCACACTCATACTTCTAGTCTCAGGAGAGAAGGTGTCTGAACTTTGGAATAGTATTTGTTTTCCTTTTTTTTCCAGAGAGAGAGATATTTATATAGGGCATGTGTGCTAGCCAGAGAGACAGAAAGAGACAAAGAGACAGAAAATGAGAAATCACTCACCCCAGGGGGATGACCATGCTGCAATCCCTTCTCCATTCTCCTCTCAGGATTTTGGGCATGCACGTACATGCACCCATTGTGAGTTTTAAGCTACTGGGTCCAGGACTCAAACTACCCCCTTAAGCTTCATGGGAGTACAACAATGTAACAATTATGCCATCTGCTGGTCATTAGAATAGTATTTGTTTTCTAAGTGCCTCACTACGTAGGTCCTCTTTCTGGACAGAGCCATGAAACTCAGAGTCCAA